AAAGTTTCAATGTGAGCTCTATCAAAACTTCAATGACATTCTTCAAATAAAGAGAAAAACAATCCTAAAATTAATGTGGAAACACAAAACACCCTGAGTAGCCAATACAGTCTTAAAGCAAAAAGCTAGAAGCATCACTCTACCTGAACTCAAAATATACTACAAAGCTACAGGAACTACAACAACATGGCACTGACATAAAAAGCAGGCATACATCTATGAACTCCACTGGAAATCTGCTTGTTCTGCACTTATTATGAGAAGGAGGCTTTGACTTTTTCTTCTAAGTACAGAGAAAGAAATTAACTGCTGAATGAAACTTATATAAAAATAAAATAAAGCTTGGCTTTAAACCAAAAAAGAAAAAAAGCAGGCTCAAAGAATAGAAAGCCCAGAAACAAATCCATATATCTACAGCCAGCTCATTGAGGTGCCCAAAAAAACCCACTGGGGAAAAGGACAGATTCCTTAATAAATAGGTTTGGAAAAATCTGGATATCAAACTTGGTTCTCTTTTCCAACTTACAAGATGGCAGGTGAAAAAACTAAGAAGCCAGACACTAAAAAGAAGAAACCTGAAGCCAGGAAGGCTTCTGCCAGTGGTACTAGTAAAAAGCATAAAGTGAAGAAGGCAAAAAAGTCCAAGGGGCAGCCCCACTGCAGCTGAAATCCTGTACTGGTTAGAGGAATTGGTAGATACTCCCAATTTGCTATGTATTCCACAAAGGCTTTGTGCAAGAGAAAGTATACAGCTGCTCAATCAAAGGTTGAAAAGAAAAAGGAGAAAATTCTTGCTATGATTACAAAACTGGTTGGTGGAGACAAGAATGGAGCTACCCATGTGATTAAGCTTCAAAAAATGCCTAGATACTACCCTATCGAAGATGTGCCCTGAAAGCTCTTGAGCCCAACAAGAAACCCTTCAGTCAGCATGTGAGGAAACTTCTAGCTAGCATCACTCCCGGCACCATCTTGATCATCCTCACCAGGCGTCACAGAGGCAAGAGAGTGGTCTTCCTGAAGCAACTGGCCAGTGGCTTGCTACTTGTGACTGGGCCTCTTAGCCTTAATCATGTTCCCCTACGAAGAACACACCAGAAATTTGTCATTGCCACCTCTACAAAAATTGATATCAGCAAAGTGAAAATCCCCAAATACCTCACTGATGCTTACTTCAAAAAGCAGCTGCAGAAACGCAGACACCAGGAGGGCAAGATATTCGACACTGAGAAAGAGAGACACCAAATTTCAGAGCAACACAAGGTGGATCAGAAAGCGGTGGACTCACAGATTTTAGCAAAAATCCAAGCTCTTCCTCAGCTCCAGGGCTACCTGCAATCCATTTTTGCTCTGACAAATGGAATTTATCCTCATAAATTAGTGTTCTAAATTTCTTACTAAGAACCTAATTAAATAACTGATACATTAAAAAATATCTGGATATCCACATGGATCAGAATGGAAGAAGACCCTATGTCTCAGCAGATACAAAAATCAACTCAAAGTACATCAAAGATTTAAAAATAAGAAAAGATACTATAAGACTAAAAAATAGAGCATAAACAGTTCATGATATTAGACTGAACAAGGATTTTTTATTAAGACCAAAAAAGCACAGGTATCAAGGCAAACATAGATAAATGGGATTATAGCAAATTAAAAAGCATCTGTATAGAACAGAAAGCAATTAAGAGAGCAAAAAGAGAACTTACATCATGAGAGAAATACAGAAGCTGTTATAGCCAGAACATAATAAAAGGGGGAGGGGGAAACTCAGAAAAAAAAAAAATGAACAGAGGGAAGGGAGGGGAGAGAAAAAGAAAAAGAAAGACCAAATTTGAAAATGGGCAAAAGATCTGAATAGATATTTCTCAAATGATATACAAATGGCCGAGAGGCACTAATATCCACCAATAACCAGGGAATGGAAATCAAAGCTGTAGCGGGCTGTCACCTCACACCTGTTGAAATGCTTACATACTGGCAAGGAGAAAACAGAATATATATATACAGTGTTAGTGGGGAATGTGGAACAGTATAGCCATTGTGGAAAACAGGATGGAAAAATTGAATAATTATCTGGCAAGCGCAAGGGCCTGAGTTCAATCCCCAGTTCCACAAAAAAAAAAAAAAATTGAATAATTAAAAGTAGAACTACCATATGATCTAATCTTACTATTTATGTTTTTTTTTCTGTGCCAAAATGTATCTTTTATTATGATTAATGAAAATAAATAAACTAAAAATCCCCACATCTAACAATGTTTTACAAACTATAATCTAATCGGGGAAACATGAATATACCATGAGACAGGCTATCAGAAAAATATTAATCTTTTTACCTCTATCTCACTTTTGCCAGTAATAAATCTTAACATTTTATTTCTCTGTTCTATATCAATGAAACATAAGTAGAGTGACCAGAGCTCACACGGACAAAGAAGAGGAGGACTAGTGGGAATAAGCAGATATTCCAAGCTCTGAGGATGCCGTGTATACTAAGAACATTTGGCATAGTATTTGGAGCTTATGTTTTCAAAAGAAGTAAAATCAGTATCTCAAACATCCATGTTCCCATGCTTTTTGCAGCACCGTTTATAATAGCCAAGTTATGGATTCAATTTGTGCTCACCAGCAGATGGAGAGAGAATAGATGATAGTATATATGTATATAACATCGCAATACTACTCAACCATAAAAAGATGCAATCCTCTCATTTGTGACAACATTGATAAACCTAGAGAACATTATGTTAAATGAAATAAACGTAAAGCCAAAACACCAATATTCCATATAGTATGATACATATACTGATATGTGGAATCTAAAAATGTTGATCTCAGAATGTAAGAGTAGAACAGTGTCTACCAGTACCTGGGGAATTTATCCTCATAAATTAGGAAGGGGAAGGGAGGAGAGATGGATGATAGCAAGATACTGGTGTTCTGTTGTACCACAGGATGACTATAATTAACAACAATGTGTATTTCAAACTACAAAAGATTTTGAATGTTTTGTGCAACACAAAGAAATGTTTAAGAGGAAGTTTCGGTAATTACCCCGATTGGATTATTTCACAATGCATGCTATAAGACATCAGACATTGTACCCTGTAAGCATATGCAATTGGCAGTTAAAATTTGTAAAAATAGGAAAATGAAGTTAAAGATCCTTAAAGTTTAGACTTTTAACAGAGCGTAAACCAATGAGAGGTGAAACATCTGAGTGCAGAAAGTGAGCCCCTGGTGGCCTCTGGGGGAGACGGAGCCGGAACAGTCAGAGGATACTTTTTCCTTTCTCCCCCCTCTCTCCCTTCCCCTTCTTTTGCAATTTTGGTCCTTTGACACCTAGATAGTACACACTATCTAGTTAGGTGTGTCTAACCAACAGACCTTAAGCCACTTGCCCTTTCCTATTTTCAGCTTTATAATCACAAATAAAAAAGTTTTATTACCTATATATTATTTATATATTTTATATGCGGCCTGAGACAATACTTCTTTCAGTGTGGCCAGGCCAGCCATATGTTAGGGACACCAGCTAGAGGCTCTGTCCAGTCCTGCTCTTGCCACGGGATCAACAGAAGACACGTTTTTGGTGCGGCTGTGCTCATAAACCTTGAATTACTTCCCCCACTTGTGGTCCCTTTGTTGTATACTTTGTGTTGAGCTCCAAAAAGGAAAATTAAAGTCAAGTTATAAAATTAAAATGGTTCTCTCTCACCTCACAGGGTTCCAGTCCTACATGGACACTGCCACCAGCTAGGTACTAGGCCAGCCCCCATCACTCAGGGACTCTTTTGTGTTTCATTCCCAGATAACAACGAAATTGTACGCTCTCTCCTCCATTATGCATACTGTCATGCATACACACAACCATTATCACTAGGCTCTTTCTGAACCTTAACCTCAGAATTTTAAAATTTTAACACAGCTCCCATGCATCATATTAAAATGCCTGAAGCTTCAGAATCCGTAAGGCCCTTTCTCCTTCAGCCTCCTGTGATACTCACAAGAACCAGTTCATTCATAGGTCAGTGTGTCACCATTTTCCAGATGAGGACACAGACTCGGGGGTGACAAATGTCCTACCCGGGCTGAGGCTGAGGATGCTGGTCGCAATGCCACTACCACCCCGGTCAGCGCCTTGTTCTGGATGTGTTCTCAGCATCATGAGGACAGTAGAGAGCTGACCATGAAGACCATGCAAGCAGCTCTAGGAGGTCTCCTCTTCCTTGCCCTCTAGTTTTTTTTCAGGACTTGCTCCTTACTCAGATTGCAGTTCCATAACCACTTCCCAAGCTAGGTCAAATTCCTTGCTGTGAGCTCTCATATAAAAGTGTCTCTTTATTCGTAGCATCCACCTCATCTTCTCATTACAGGTAGACTCACTTAAATAACCACATCACTTGTGTCTACACTGTAGACCAAGGGAGACAGGCTACTGAGAGCGGTGGGGTTGGGCCAGACTGGTATCTCCTGCTGTGCCCACAGCACCCCAACTGCCCCTCATTGCCAGGCCAGGAGGCAGGCTCAGCTTCACCAAATGTCCTGGTTTTCAAAGAAGCCAGAAATCCAAATTCTTAAATGAAATCCCCTGATTTTTTTTAAATGTTTGTATTTAATTTACTTTTTTCAGTATGTATAGAGCAATCAAAGTTGCCTGGGGTCAAGATTTAGCTGCGGTCATAGTTTGCCACGCTCAGTCTGGGCTTTGAGCTCCTTAACAGAAAGGATAAGCCTGCGCTGACTGCCACTGTACCCTCAGGGCTTCGTGATGAGCCAGGTGACCCTGGCACAGAGAAGGCACTCACCAGACACGAACAGTGGAAGGGGCAGGTGGGTTGGGGAGCGGGTGGACCGACAGACGCACAGATAGGCCAGGGACCGAGTAAGTGCTCATGGTCCTCAGATCCCACGTGTTTCAAACACCCTCCCCAAGGACTACTCCCACCACCCGCCCTGCAGCACCATGACGCTACCTCTTCTGCCCCCTGCAGAGAATCCGTGTCTCGGGGAGGTTGTCCGAGAAGCAATTCACCGTCAGAAGGGCTATGCATCATGTGCCACAGCCTCCAAAGTGCCCACGATGGAGTGTCGTGGGGGCTGCGGGCCCCAGTGCTGCCAGCCCATCCGTAGCAAGCGGCGGAAGTACGTGTTCCAGTGCACAGATGGCTCCTCATTCGTGGAAGAGGTGGAGAGACACTTGGAGTGCGGCTGCCGCCCGTGCTCCTAAGCCCCGCTGCCCGCACGCCACCCACCGCCTCTCAGACTCCAGCTTGGTGGGGCTCGGGACAGCCACGTGGGACCCCGCTGAGGTTTAGAATGAAGGCAAGAAAGCTGGAGAGGAAGAGAAAAGAAGAGAATATTAAGTATATTGTAAAATAAACAAAAAATAGAACTTATTTTTATTATGGAAAGTGACTATTTTCATCTTTTATTATATAAATATATCACACCATCTGAGTATATGTACCATATAGTGAGTTATTTTTACTGAGTTTTGTTTTGTGATGTGTATTTTTTGTGTTTTTATAAACAGCTGTTTTAAAATTTTAAGACAAAAAATGATAATAAAAATGTTTTAAACAAAAGGATAAGAATAAAGAAATGAGAGGCTGTCTGCAGAGGCAGGAGGAAGTCTTATGATTGGGAAGCACTCACATGTCCTTAGAAACCAACACGTGCTTACTGAGCTCAAGAAAAAGGAGGAAGAGGAAGACAGAAAAGGAGAAGATTGCTCTTGCTTGCTTGGTTTTAACTCCTTTGTTTCCTTTTCCCTAAAAGCCCTCAGCTTTTAAGGGCTCTGGTTGTCTCTACCCAAGATGCCTAGCACTTCCAGCAGAAAGCAGCCCTGGCCTTCCTGAGTCTTGCTGCAACTCAAAATAATGGCTTTCTGGCTGCCTTGGGCACGCTGCAAGTTCTGGGGCCACAGGAAGACCCCTTTTCTCCTTCCTTGGGGGGCCCTGGTTCCCATTAGAGACCTGACTTCCTAGTCCTTCCCAGACCCTTGAGCTGAGCCTATTTTACCAAATTTTACAATAGCTGTTCTTTTCTCTGTAAGAATAAGGTAGTCTTGCGTGAGACAAAGGCAGAGGGTAAGGGTCTGTGGCTTCCTTAAGCCCTTCCTCCTCTCTGCAGCCAATTTCCCACTGGAATAAACACCAGGAGGGCAGATAGTCCTGATGCTGGCATGGAAAGGGCCAGGAGCCAGGCCTGCTCTCAGCACTCGGAGTCCAGCAGGGCCTCCACCATCTGATCCTCCAGGCCACCATCACAGTGATGCAGGCCAGCCACCCACCCGCAGCACTTTTGGATGCATGCCTGAGCTCTGCTTTATCCACCCTCTGTCTCTCCGGGGAGAGTAGAGCAATGAGTCCTGTTTCGTAGGTAAGGAAACCTAGGCCTGTAACTTGCTGGGAAGCACCCATCTGCTAAGTGGAGCATGCCAAGCTGGAATCCGTACTCGGAGCTCCAGGTTCTTCTCCAGAACAGCTAAACATAGGAGATTCAGACAGATATGGTTCATCAATAGAGCCTAAGTAATAAAAAAGAAAAAAGCAGATATTTTCTCCTCACCTTTTCCTCTGTTCTTATCCTGCTTTATTATTCTTTTTTCTGCCTCCATCTTCTACAGAAAAATACTAGAAAGAAAAAAGGCTTAGGTATCTGGGAAACATGGGCAAATGCAGCCGGTCCAGCTCCAGCCTGTTCCTAAATGACCCTTCCTGTCTTCCCACATCTCCCCTCCACCTTCGTTTGCCCCCAGGGTCCCCTAGTCAGTGCGAATCACCAGGAGCTCAGCTGTCCCCAGCTCCTTGCTCTCCTCCTCCACCCTCCCTGCCCCAGAGCTTCCACTGCTTCTACATCAGGGAGCACAGTTTGGGATCTTTCAGCTCTGAGTGTCCCCAGAGGAACCTAGTTGCTTTGAGGGGACCAATGGTGGGCCAAAGACTTGAGGAAAGAAGGACGAAGACTGTGAGGCAAGGTGAAGACACGCAGGGAGGGATTTGCTAGAGAAATTTACTTTAAAATATGCATGTGGATATGTATTACGTTCCAGGTACTGAATCTTATTATTGCTTTGTTTATAGACTTATTTAGCATTAACTACATTATATCAGATATTCTATTTACTATATATATTTATATACATTCATTTAATTCTCGAAACAGTCTTATGTTAAGAACATTACTGATTCACTTGACAGTTGAGTAGCCTGAAACACAGAGAAGTTAAGGAATGTACCAAGGAGAAGATAATAATAAATTGCAGAGCAAGGATTTGAACCTAGGCTCTCAGGCTCCAGAACTTAGTCACTTAACCATTAAACCACACTGCTGCTTCTGAAAGAAATACATATCCCACCTTTAAGGGTCTTACAATCTGGAGTGGAAACAGGGATGATTATATATCCCCTAAAAGCAGTTTAAAGAAGAAAAATGCTGTTGAGAGAAGGGGATTTCCAATGCTGGGTCTATGAGGATAAATAGCAGCCTGCCCAGACCAGGAAGTGAAGATGAATTTTCCCTCCAACAGCCTAATTAAAAGCAGTGAAGCGTGAAAAGGTCGGGCATGTTTGCCAGCCAGAGGTCCTGGGTTGCAGGAGTACGAGCTGCACGCTGGGAAACAGAGAGACACAGTAGATGTCAAAGGAGGATTTGAAGCACAAAGACCTCCATGGGCCAGGCCGGCCCACAGAGAATCAGAGTTTCAGCAGAGGAAAACCAAGACAGGGTCTGACTGACAGAACTGGTAGCTAAGTGGAGATGAATCTCTAGCATGCAAAATGGCCTTGGCGCTCCTAGACGTTCATATGGTGGCTAGAAAACACTGATTTCAAGGTGGATCTCAAGTCTTCGTGGCAGCTCTGAAGCTCAGCCCTGCAAGCGTGAGCTAGAACCTGGCCAATGCGTGTTCCTTCCCCCCTTGGTCATCCTGACCCTTACTCTCCTGCCAGGGCGCCGAACTAGCCTCTCCCCACCCAGTACAAAGTCCAGGCAGCCTGCCGCTGCAGGAGCCTCCCTGGACGCTGATGTTCTGAGCACTGGCCGGACCAGTGGCTCTCCCTACCTGGAGAGATCTCAGAGCCTCCCCCTTCCACTCCCCTTATGGGCTTATTCCTGAATCCCACCACGGTAGGCCAGAACAACAACAAAAAAATGTCCCAGTTCTATCTTGGTGCAAACTGAAGTGGGTAGATCTTGAGCCTTCCCCTCAATTTTGGAAGCATCAACTTTAAAAAATGTCAAATGCAAAGAACATTTTTTAAAAATCCTTCCCAAAATGAAGTATCTCTAACAAAATGAAAAAATATCTCTTTGAATAGCCAAAATTCTCAGAACAGAAATCCCCATAGACAGGAAAGCATCTGTTGGTAATTTGCACCCTGCATAGTATGGTTTAGTGTTTGTGTGGGCAGGCTTGTGCGGAAGGAGCCTCTCGGCTCTATGTCCCCTGAGCAGCATCAGGAAAGGGGAACATCCCGAGAGGCCCTCAAGTAACTGACGAAATGGTGTATTTAAAAGCTCTGTAAAATATAAACTAAAAACCTGGAATGTAAGATGATGTTGTTATTATTACTGTTGTTGTTGCTGTTACTAACATGCCAAAAAGCCCTTTTAGAAGAGAACTTTGCCTTTCTAATCTCATTACATGGGGTCTGATGCTTTGGAAAGATGGAAAGACAACAAAGCAGGGGAAGGGAAGAAGGGAAGGAAGGAGGGAAGGGAAGGAAGGGAAGGAAGGGAAGG